ATTACTGAGCTACTTTAAACTTGTTATTTGTACCTGCAGAGGTATTTTCCAGAACTATTCGTTTTAATAACATTCATCATTCATGCATAGCAGTGGAGATAAGTTAACAATCTAATGCACCACTGGACATAAATGCCACTCATATCAAGCATCAAAATACGGTCAACTATCGTTATTTTGTTTTCTGATCTATACAACATGAAAGTGCCGGCCGCCAAATCCAAAGTGATTTGACAAGCTTGATAAAACTCTTTTTCTAACAACCTGTTTTCCTTGTAGAGCAATAACTGAATTTAGTTGCTATAATCTCAGTATCAACGAGAATCTAGTCGCTAAACCAAATGAGGTTTCATTTTGACATTAAATTTCAGTCTCTCTATGGAAATTCCATATTAGATTTGTTTATTTAATCCATAACACAGTGATATAGTATTATTTACTTCATGACGTTTCAAGCATAAATGATTATTGCTCATAATCATATCAATGTAATCATACCACTTTCGATAACTATAGAAATCAAATGTCGAAAGTAGTGTGATTACATTGATATGATTATGAGCAATAATCATTTATGCTTCAAACATCATCAAGTAAATAATACTAGATCACTGTGTGTGTTATAAATCAAATAAACAAGTCTACCACAGTGCCCAAGTTTTACATCTGTATGAAAATGTTAAATAACCGAACAATTAAAGTGGAATTCAACTATAAACTGATATTAGTCGAAAGGACACTGAAAATCAAAGAGTACTGGACAGTTCTTTAATGCCTTTCTAAAATTCGTTTCAAAACGTGCTAACTATAAGAATCAGAGATATTTTTAAAATTTTAGCAAATGGGACTTAATTTCCTCCCAGCAAGTCACGGTATCTCATTGAAGTATATATAATCTTCAACACTTTTCATGCAAATGTGTGAATACAGCCTTGTGATATTCAGTGATAAAACATCTAAATTTACATCCTAACAATCTAGTGGTAGGTCAGAACCGTCGATTTTGTAGCACTAAAGAAGGTAATGATTTGTAAGACTTTTAAACTGGTTAAAGCTGTGAAGAAGAAGTAAAACCATGTCTCAGTCTCGTCGTAGAGTTTTCAGCTTCAGCATTTCCAGTGAGTTAGTTGCATTCTATGCCTTATATTTTCGCTGATGCAGAGAATGTCTAAATGAAGTTTCGCGAAGATTGTTAATACCATTATTTGCTGTGATGATGAAAATTGGTTTTAAAATAACTGAAGTCGGAACACAACTTTGGTGATTCTCCATAATGGCTAGTAGGGGAACACAGGATGCGCTTTTGATTATACTTAGGACTGATCAGCTACATATACTCGCCTCTGAGTGAATGTTGTTGTCCCTATCAAGATTTAAAACCCTCAGTTACTGCCCCAAAAGCTGTGAAAATATCGAATGGTCTACAGAGTTACGATAACCACTCCTTTTACAACAGGTATAGTTTGATAATGTAGTTTTCTATTGCTGGTTCATATGGATAGAACTAATCGGTCACTGTTGGTATATAAACTTCTGTGAGGGTGTCTCGATATTGCTAGTAATTTTATCATGATAGATATTATTTAACGCAAATCCAGAATGTCCGTTTCATTCCATCTACCACTGGTTAAATATGGCTACTAGATTCAAATCTCAGTTGAATACCGTTATCCACTCGAAAGCAGATGTCTATAGCTAAAAAATCTCAAATCGTCCTGAACTCCACTGCAAGTTATTATACACCATTAGCAACAAAATGAAATCACGTGCAGTATTAAGGCATCCATGTAGGAGCCCCTATACCAACAGGAGTTGGTCATTATGTTTCAGGCAGCCAAAGACAGAAAATTACAAGCTGTGACACAAATCACAGTTTATGATGCAATGTATTTACTTCCAAATAAAAATTATTTCACCTGGATACGATCCAATGGTTTACTTTATTAAAAGCTATTCTTCAAACAATCTCCTAAAATACCATACCAAATTTCAAACTGGCAAATGTTAGTATGAGTTTACTACTTTTGTCAAACCCCTGCATTCAAGTTATACGTGAAGTCAACGGAAAGATTGCGAAATAAAGACCGATTTATCTTAGGTAACCAACCATATTTATGATGGATAGTGGCTAGTAGTGAAAATTCAGGATATGCGTTCCGTCCTATTTGGGACTCGTTAGCTGGATGTACCTGCCTCCCAGAGAGCAATATCGTTCCTACTAAGACTCGAATCCGGGACCAGTCGCTTCAAACCAATCACACTGCTGACAAATGCTGCCGGATTGACTATTCAACCAGCGGGCGTATGAAATGCATGAGATATTTTGCTGGATTCACTCTGAAATAACATCACAACAATAATCTGTCCATTAACTGACAGACAATATAATGCAATGAATCTGGAAAAGATTTCATGAGTTACCGAATGAACACCGTAGGAATGAGTCACTCTGTGTTCATAAACAAGTCTTCTCAGTCATTCTGAATGACTGCTCAACGTCATCCTCGAAATCGCTTTGGTTTTTATTCGGAAACTTACCCACCCAAGCGATTCATCTTGACAGCATGCATGTTTCCCGACACTTCATTGAAATGTTGTGTATTATCTTTGTCTTTACTTCAAATCCAAGAAAACTTTTATATTCATATTTTAGGCTGGTGAAGAAAATAATTTTTTTCCAAAAAACACTAATTCTTCTCATTAGGAATATGAATCGCTTATGTAAATAGGTAAGGCGTGTTCTTTCTTATTCTGACCTGACACTATCCAAAACTTGATATAGAAAATTATACCACTTAACTAAGCACACCTCAACAATTTATTGCAAACTCTTATTCAAATTGAAATCATCTGTACTTCACTCGTTAGTACTTAAAAATATCATACTGTCAACATCACATTAGCCTTATGGATAAGAGAGAAGAATTGTATTTGTTACTGGTTGGATCATGTACTGGACTTCGAAACAACAGGTTTTAGGCTTGAAACAATTTCAACCTACCAAGATTTGAACGGCCAATTAGTATTGCTAGCTTGCATGCAATGAAAGAGGCTCATAACCTAGTGTATAAATCCACACTAGGTTACTGGGATACATTGGCCTATTGTCAAATGAATACGTTGAACGTATAGTATAAAAAATAACTGCATATAAATAGTCATGACAGTTGCACTATTCTTAGTCAAAAGCAGTTTTTTTCTTAGATATTAGCACCATTTAGAGACTTACTAAAACCAGAAAGTCTCAGATATCTGTTTCGTCCGTATTCAGGACTCTTTAGCAGTGGACACTCATTAGTAAGTTCTAATCATATATATATATATATATATATATATATATATATATATATATATATATATATATATGCTAGTAAACTCTGAAGAAGAATGGTGAGGTCATGCTTAGCATGAAGAATTAAGCTCCCTCTCTAATTCTGAATACACTCAAGAATCAAAACTAAAATCATACCTTTCTTCCTATTTAGAATATATTAGCACTATTGGTGCTATCAGTGTGCAATCTTCTTACGATCAAACCTACTACACAGACTCATTAAATAAGCCTTTTTCTATACCTGATAGATTGATTCACCTATGGAAGTCAAAAGCTGATTTCAAGCCAGATGAAACGCATCAGCCTTAGGATCTGACATAAATAAATAGGTAGTAAGCTAATTCATATTTCCTAACATCCAAATACAATTGGCTTTGATCCACTTTACCGTATTTTTGAACTCCTGTGCGAATCGGCTCTTGAAAATTACTTGAGACACTCACCTACTTCAAAATTAAATTACCTGATGTTGTGCAGCATTCAATGAGAGCTAAATTCTGTAGTATTCATACTTGGTTGCCGCACAAAGTTATAAACTTCTTTGATAAGTCTCTGTTTAGCACATATTTTCTCTTACTATTTTGTACTTCACAGATTATCCCTATCAAAGCTGTTTGTCTCACCCTTTTCCATCTAAATAAGTATTTTCAGGCTTATTAGTTCGTGACACAACTATGACTAATGCAATTACGAGATTTTATCATGATATCCTTGGAAAATCAAATTTTTAATACTACAAGCCGTAATCTACCCGGACACCAAGAGTAAAATAAAAAACCAAAACAGTATTCATTAATGACTGAAAAATGTAATTTCAAAGCACGTATACTGGTCAGAAGTGTCTACTAACCACATCACCTTGATCTCTATCATTGTGGATCCTGAAAAGCCCACCCTTAGTTCGATTCCATACTTAGATTTTTCGCCTACATCTTTTTCACGGCGATACACAAAATATGTCATATAGTTTAGACAGGCTGTTAAAAAGCCTCTCTGTTCACGTCTTTGAAATCTTCCTTTACCACTTGTAGCGAATTACCTCAATTTTGGTTTGAATTGTATGCACTACATGCAATGATGATTTAGGATTCCAGTGTAGTCAATGTTCCTTGTCATACATGAAAGTTTATGCATTGCAGAGAAAATCAGTTTATGATGAATATATTTGTAGTATGCATTTATACTGCTAGTTTTTAATGTTATCTGTGTCGCATCACAGTTAAAACCCAAACTACCGTCACTCAATATGACGACAGCCAATAACATTCACTATAGATACTTAATCCTCTATTAATGCACTGAGGTAGGTAACTGTTTACCTGAGGTTTTCGATGTACGGTAGTACAGCTTTTTTTAATTGACTATATGGAATGAACAGAGTTGCTGTAATAGTCATCCTAACCAATTGGGTGTTTTTATTTCCATTGGTAAGGTAGTTTTTCTACAGGATACAGAACTCGAATTGGTTGCTTCTGTGCCTTTAGAGTAAACCTAAGCAAAATATATTTTTATTTTCCTGATTTTTTGTTCTTACTTAAATGTCACGTAGTAGTATAAAATAAAAACACCTTTCTTTTTCAGCCAATCACAATTAAGAATTATTCAGCCAATCACCTTACTACTTTTCTGCATATATTCGAAGGCCTGTAAAAAACGAAACAGTTGTAGCTTCTTGGTAAAATGTCGATTAGCACTAGCGTTACTGCCCCCGTTCACTTATGTCGAAAATTGTTTGGTGAACCTGTATCATGTATACGTATTCAGCAAACGTTGGAGACAATTATGCGTAAAGATTTAGACCGTTTCCAAAATAAATGGAATTTCCAACTAGCAAATAATCTACCAGAAAACAAAAATCGCAAACCACTGTCTCTTCTTCAGTTACATAGTGGGAATCTGCAAAAACATGGAGCAAATGAGTTTATCTTGGAGCCTATTCTATCAGCTCCAAGTTTCTATACAAGATCACCACGAAAGCTGAAAGCATTTAGACGTCTTCCACTGTCAGTTGCGCAAAAAACTCACATGGAACTCTTTAGAAAAACTACAGGGAGTGAAGTAAAGGAATATCCTTACACTTTCGCCATGTCACACAGCTCTCCTGATAATGACGCACTGAATGATAACCAGAAGCCTGCAGCCAGTACCCCACTATCTACAGATACAGCAACCATAGTACCATATCAACCATCAAAATCATCAACGACACCGTGCCAAATAAGTAGCTCATCATCATCGTCATCAGTTGTACCAAAACCATCAACAGTGCATATGACTCCAATTGTTATTCGTTCAAGTGGTAGTAGTAATCATAATGCATTATCATCAAGTTCGAATCCTCCTCGACATTCAGTGAAACTGATCAGATCTGATCGATTAAGTTTGAAGAAATCTGGGCCTAAAGTAACAGGTAATTCAATAACTCTTCCCATATGATGACCCATTTGCATTTTTATTAATGACGCAATTTGGAAAATCAATTTTTTATTTCTGCCCCTAATTCTTATCCTTTCGCTTCCCTTACTTTCTTTTGTTGATTGGTTTAGCTTTATTATTATTTCGTATTTGTTGTCCAATAAACAAAAGACTGAAAGTTGTAAACTTATTTAAGCTGGTTGTGTACAAATATCAGTATTAAGTAGTCAGTGTTCATTATCCCCACTGTCAATATAAGTGTATTACCTAGCAAAAATTATAGTGAAGACGAATAACTATGCGATTAAAACTATGACCGATGACTTGCTTTTTGTCCTACATAGGACTTATCAGTTCCCAGTATCTTATTCCCATCCACTATCTACCCTACTTGTATCATTAATTGTAATTTTCAGCATGTCAACTGGATGAAAAACCGAAAGAAGAAAAGTAGAAATGGTGTACTTTCCCAAACTGTAGCATGTTAATGATATCACACAGATTTATACTGCATACACCAGTAATCACTGACACTAACGAAACTACCCGGTGTTGGTGTCCATCCTTTTGATTTCTACCCCTAACCATTATATAACTATAAAGGAAAGAAGAAATGAAAGCAGGAATCTCAGTTAAGCAACATCGGTCACATTGTTCTATTCATTTTAAAAGATACACTGAAGGCTTATTATTGCATAGC